ATTAGTAAAATTATCTTTTTATTTATGGTTTCTTAATATGCATGTAAAAAAAGAAAATGATCAACTAATATAAGACAAAGATAGTAATAAGGAAAACATATCATATGTATTTACTATACATCGCTATAGTTTGAAATAATTATCATTTACGACTACTGCTTTATAAAGGCTAATGCACTCTCTCTCCTCTTTCTCCGAGACCTCATTCGCTTCTCTCCTTCCTCCAACATTCTAGCTCGTCTCTGACCTCCTTCTAGTAGCTTTTTTTTATATATACAAATCAATTATGTCAATTGTATTCTTGATATACTTATTAATTAAATATACAAATTAATTATATCTATCTCCTCTCTCCTAGATCTTGTTCGCCTCTCTCCTCAATCCTCTCTCATCTTTCATCTCTCCTCCCTCTTCCTTCTCCCGATCTCGCTCACCTCTCTTCTCCTTATAATATGTAGTTACGAATTGTAAGTAACCAAATTATAGCTAAGAAGCTTGATTATGTTTCTAGTCTTACTTGTTTTTGAAATTTCCTTTATAAAAAATTACGTACTTGGAATTGAAATTCTACCATTAAAGATGAATTTGAAATTTAAATTTAAGTTTAAATTTAAATTGAATTTGAAGTTCTTTAAATCTCATAAACAAGCATAAATTTAATAAAAATTTCATGAGACACCTTATTTAAACGTTGTCATTTAAGTTGTAGCCATTGTTAACAATTATTTAATTGATCCCACTTTTAACAAGTTTCCAACAAACCTCCTCCTCCGACTTCTATATATACATATTTTAGCTTTAAAACTTCGATAATACTATAATCACATCATCCATTCTCTTCATTTCTTACATCATCATAAAAGACTCGTAAACTAAATATCGTCTATAACTTTTATCTTAACATAAAAATCTTACATCCAAAATCATTAAAAAGAATAATCGATCACTAATAATTTAAAAGGTAGTCCAGAAGCTAGAAGGCATGGTTCAAGTAAAAGTATATATTTTTTGGCCTCTACAAAGCTAAATATATATATCCAAAGTCAAGCATGAACTAAAATTATGTCTAAAGAAGGAAAACTTGCAAAAATAATTTAACATATGGTATAAATTTGACTTCGACTCCAAAAACGAATATTTGTACTCTCCGGAGAGGGTTTAATTAACGAGTCAAGTCTAATTACAAGTAGATCAATAAATTAATACCATATATTTAATTTAAATGTGAACATATTTCACTTCAACTTCGATTAATATGAGGGGCTTGAGTCATAAATTCAATATTAAGGAAAAATGTGATTCAATAGGTGGAATTACAAGAATAATTTTAAGATATTTGTAAATTGTAATATGCTAAAAGCATTTTTTTAATCTTTTTTTTATATAAAATATAATTATGAAACTTAATTTCCAAACTGCTCTCTTCTTCACTTTATATTTTTATTGTTTAATCTCAAAATTCCTAATATTCTAATCCTTGGGGAATAGATCATCATTTCTAGGCCTCTGCTAAATATACAAATCACTATAATTATTTTGTGTTAGAATTTAAACTATTTGATTTTGAGTAAAATAATATTTGTCATACCCACACTCATCCAATGGATTTAATTTGGCTAATATTTTTTCAACTTTATTGGGTGGCCAGGGTCCAACTTAACTAACAACATGTGAAATTGGATTGGCCTATGGATGGTCCATTTTGTTTCACTTTTGTTTGAACGAGTATAAAAAATATTTGGTAGGAAGTGTTTTTCTGAGGCCCTACACAACGCAAATTTAGATTAGTTGGACTCTAATACGGATATCGAATCGAAATAATAAAATATCACAATCTATTGTTAAATGAATTGGTTACATGTAAGTTGTTTAAAGGAGATGGTTTAAATTTAAATTACCAATTAATCCTTAGATTAATTAATACAGGTCAAATTGCTTTCTTCATTTATGGATGTAACCTGTCTTTTCCATTTATTTTTTGGAAAAGGGTCAAAATTACCCCTGAACTATATGAAATAGACCATTTATACCCTTCGTTACATTTTGGGATAAAAAATGCCCCTGCCGTTATCCTAAGAGACCACAAATACCCTCAAGAGTTAACACCCCAAATTTTTGTTGACGTGGCAAGCCACATGGAACTAATCCTTCCACCTAAGCGTTGCCAACTAGGATTCACTACAAAAGAACTAGACCTTTAGCGGCAACAACAGTCGCCACAAAAGCCCAGAAAATCGTCACTAAAAGTTTTTAACATTAAATTCTAATTTTGTTTTTTTTCTTCATTGTTTTTAAAAAACCAAATATGATATCGATTAAGTAGGAGTTTGAAGACACTATATGTTTTATTTTTATGTCATATGTAAATGTATAAAATGTACAATGATGCATTAATTATATATAGTAGGAGATTTGAATCGAGAAGTAATTTTGATTATTTTTCGTAATAATATTGGATGTTTTTAATATGGATATTGCAAGTTATTTATTTTAGAAAATTAGGTCGCAATCGAAAATTAATTATCATATTTTTTTGTTGAAAAAATAGGTTTTACTAGCGAATGGTTGTTGGAGCCTTAGTCGCCACTAAAAATCAATCATAACCTTTAGTGGCAATATTTTGGGATTTTGTGGCGACTTTGTCGCCACTAAAAGTCAAGCTCTTTTGTAGTGAATCTTAGTTGGCAATGCTTAGGTGGAGGGATTAGTCCCATGTGGCTTGCCACGTCACTCAAAATTGGGGTGTTAACTCTTGAGGGTATTTGTGGTCTCCTGGAATAACTGCGGGGGTATTTTTGATCCCAAAATGTAATGGAGGGTATAAGTGGTCTATTTCGCATAGTTCAGGGGCAATTTTGACCCTTTTCCGTTTATTTTTAAATGGAAACTCTGTTAACAAATGATAACTTTTTTCATATTACTACAATACAAAGTGACAAATGTCCAACTAAAAACACTAGTCTTATGGGTAGGAACTCATGTACATCCCTTTTTTTATTAATATATTTTTGGGAAAAGGGTCTGAAAAATACTTCAACTTTGGCCAAAATTGTTGTTACGATATAACATTTTATGGAGGATCTTCTACCCACTGCACTATTTAATAGTGTATTTAAAAGGTATATATGTGCCCACGTGGACACGTTATTATTTATAATTATGCAATATTTGTGATGATAGACATATATATACCTTTAAAATACACTATTAAATAGTGTAGGGAGTAAAAGGTCATTTCCAAAGTTTGGTATCGTTACTGCAATTTCGATCAAAGTTCGGATATATTTCAGACGTTTTTTCCTATATTTTGATAAGAGAACTGAAATACACACAAGCTAGTTTGATGATGGAATTGAGATTTTCATGGAGGGGTTTAACTATGAAAAAATAAAATGTGAATAAGTTGATGCGATTTCAACATGTACTTTATATACATAAAAAAAACTTTAATCATATATAAATAGTATTTTCTCTGTCCCAATTTACCTGACACATTTTGAATTTCGAGATTTAAACAAATCTATTTTTTATCTTAAATTTTTCATATATCTTTTAAATATTTTGAACGATCAATTATTGTGATTTAAAATACTTTTTACGTTGCTCCACTAATCTCTACAACCCTAGTTGTGATTCATTGACATTGAACCATCCCAGCTTTTTGGCATGACAAAATTTTAGAGATATTAAATTAGTGGGGTACATCTTTCCATGAATTTTTTTTAACCAATTGGCTTTTGTGTCTCATCATATGAAACCAATGCTTAAAAATGAATAATATCCAAGTACCAAAGTATAATATTAGTCCAATTTTAATAGACAAAATTCAGGAGCTCGAGGCACATTGATCATAACCCTTAATCATTTCCCCCACTTTCTTCTTCAAACTCTTATTAGACATATAGTAACTTGCAAGAGAACCCTAAATAATTAAAACTTTAGTAGTAACAGTTTCTTCATATCACAATAATAATTCCATCTAATTAATTAACCATGCATTGGATCTAATCATCTAATAAATTCTAAATTCACTGGATAGGATTAGGTAATGAAATCTTGTTTAATTTAATCATATAGTAATAAAAGTTTGGTCCAAGCGTTGAACAGTTAAAGCCAATTGAGATCTTGCTAAGATTTTCTGTAAATAATAATAAAAAGATTTCTTTTGAAAATCTAAGCTTTTGACTAGTCCAATTTTTAGAGAGGAAATGATTGAACTAACATAATTAAGAAAATTTGTAAATTGCTTACTATAGTTCTCTAAATTTTGGAGACTAATGCCAAATATTACTTTGAAGTCAATTCAGGTCACTTTAAAGTGAGGGAAAAGGAAGTACTTCTAAGTTATAGCTGTTTAGAATGTGACAAATTATGAGAGAATTCTTAGAAAGAAAAACACAAAATTAAATTTTTTAGATTATATATATAGTCGCTATAACGTTTTTTATAATTCACATGTTATAGTAGGTAACTTGTGTCAGATTTCAAGATTACAAGTTACCTAGACCCTGATACATGTTGCTGATGGGACGTGACATGTATCTTGTAGAACTAGTCGAGGTGCGTGCAAGCTGATCCGGACACCTAAATTACATACTAGTATATAATTTATAAGCTCTTTACAAATCTATATTGGGATGTCCCAAGAAGTAATTATACCAACCATTCTTGCTTTCCATTTCTTCATCATACATCAACCCAATGAGTTCATATTTGTGGCCTCAATCAATTTTTAAAGTATCCATTTTGTCTTCCAAGAATTGCTACAAAATTCCCATTATTTTAATGGTCCTCTGCTATGATTATATATATATATAAATGGACCTACATGAACCTTCAAGTACTTCTTTCAAACAAAGCAAAAGCTGTGAAAAAAGCAAATCTTTCTGACAATTTACACATGCAACCTCTTATTATTCTTCAAACATGCTTAAAATTTTGGCATCTCAAGTAAAGCCAAACAACAGCAAGAAGAGGTGACAAACTCTCAGTTCTTGTAATATATATTTGTTTGTTTGTGTCTTCTGTGATGGTGACAACTTATCAGATGAAGAGTCTTAGTACATTAGAGCTTATGTTAGAGGAACTTCAGCAAGAAGATGAAGAAACAAATGATTTGCCACCACCTTTGCCTGTTAGGCCTGTCATTAAGGCTAGGTTGCCTAAGGGCAGAAGGAAATTGACACCATTTGGTAAAGAAAAGAGGAATCTTAAAGACATTAGGGCTCAAGAAAATGCATTTGTTGATCAATGGAGTACTTCAGAAGAGAGGGATTCTGCAGCCATGACAGATAAGGTAAATGGGAATGAATTAAAGAATTAATTTTTGTTAACTTGCACATGCCTCGACTGTTCCATACTTTCTTCATTGGGTACCTGCTACCTCCCGTCAGCATTCGTACTGCTTAACTATGCCAACTAAGGTAGAATAAAAGAAAATAACCTAGCTAGTTTTGACTTTCTGACAGAATTTGAATCATTGGATACCTGCTACCTCCCATCAACACTGGTACTGCTATATGTTGACTCTTTGCTAGAATTTGAACCTTTGTCGATGGTTTATTCTCAGATCGTTAGGCCACACCTCTGGATGCATTAATTTTGTTAAATTGTAGCAAAGGGGTTTCTACTTTTTAGGTTCATGAAATTTACTATGTGATCATTACCTACATTAAGTTACAGCAGCAGGACAATGACTCTTGGAAGAAGTAGTACAACTAAAGCTTTTCCAGATGCAAAATTTATCTTCACCAACTGGCAAATGTGGTTAGTTCCTAGATTAATGAATGAGGGCATCTAAATATTTATTAATTGGATGACAGAATGTACAAAGGAAGATTCACATAGCATCTTATTTAGACTGAATCACAGTCATATTTCTCATAATTTCAACTGTTGTTAGCTTACAAATTATACTTAATTTTGATGGTAAGTGTGGTTTATTTCACAGATTTGTTTGATGGTTGATCAGAGAGATGGAGCTGAACTAAGTAGAGTACTGCAAATTCAGAGATGCTTTCGCGGCTATCAAGCCCGCCAGTACTATCATGAGCTTAAAACAGGAGCAGTAGCTCTACAATCATGTAATTCACAATATCCTATTTTTTTTCTCAAAACTTCATATGCTATAATACTAAGTCCACCTTCAGAAAGAAAAATCAATCATATCAAACTTAATAGTTCTTAAAAACATATGCCTCAAGGGAAAAGAACTTCAGCATGTTATTTTGCATTTTGATGATCAGAGCTCAACCATAGTCGTCGATTCTTGCAGTTGTGCGTGGTGAAATTGAAAGAAAGTATTATCAGGGTCTCACTAGGAGGTTAGCAGCAATTATCTTTATACAGAAACACATAAAGAAGCATCATCATAAAAGAACAGAACGACAAAGAACTGCAGCCATATGTTTGCAGTCTGGTAAGATTGTAGAATGCTTAATCCAAAATTTTGAATATATAGTTTTGAAGATAGTCCTCAACTTTTCTCTATGCATTCTGCAGTTAGTCGAGGTTGGTTGATTCGAAAGAAGTCCAATCTCTCAGGTGATGAAAAACGATCTTGTGTTGTTCAGAACATTAGAGAAAAAAATGACCTTGACAATAAGGAACCAGAAACTAAGGTGTGCTTTATTTCTTTGAAAATTGGTTCAATGTCCTGAAAAACACATATCTTAACCACTTTGGTTGCTTGAATGAAACTCCCTTCAGGTACCACGTTCAATTCTACTTGATCTTCAGAGGCATATTTTGAAGACAGAAGCAGCCCTGGAGAGAAAGAAAGAGGAAAATGCAGCTTTGAGGCTACATATTCAGCATTATGAGATAAAGTGGAATCAGTATGAATCAAAAATGAAAGCTATGGAGAAGATGTGGCAAGATCAGTTAACGTCTATACAAGTGAGCATTCCATGTCTTCATTAAAAAAAAACAAAATGTTGTTCAGTGGCATCTCGTATGGATATCACTTCAAAATGTGCTGCAGATTACTTTATTTGTTTCGATAAAATCCCACATATAAATTCTTATATAACATCAGTGAGATTGCTTAGTGTTATTTGCTTTAACCAAAAGACATTTGTGTATCTTGCAGATAAGTCTGGCTGCAGAAAGGGAAAAACACGGGGACGAAAAGACTAAGGGAAAACTCAGACTACTGATACTTCAAGATCAAGATGAAAATGTGCATAACAGATTCCCAAGAACTACATCTCTTCGAACAAGTGCATTGAATCATCCTGATGAGGTACATGATACACAACCACAACCAAGTGGGAGATCAAATCCCAATAACAAGTGTGTTAACCACCATGTGATGGACATGGTCAATCACTATCAAAATTTTGTCGTCCACGATCAATGTAATTCAGGGGAGGAGGGTTCCGCCCTCAGGCCTAACGATGAGCTCCAGAAGCTGAAGATTAGATTTGAAGCATGGAAGAAGGATTACAAGAATAAATTGCGCGAGGCCAAAGCAACAATGAAGCAACTAGGACACTCTGAAAGGGGGAAGGGTTCAAAGATATGGTGTGGGAGATGAAAAAGTTAATGTCTTATGTTAGATCCTCCAATTGGAGGACATTTTCAGAGGATTTGACACGGGTGCAACAACAACATATTTGGAGAGTCTGATCAACGTAGCCTCTCATTATCATTTATTCTTCATACTTCATATTTACATGTACAGAACAAGCATATAAACTGTCAATGTCATACAACCATTGAAGAAATATAAGAGAATATGTTGAGGAAAATCGAAAAGACTAGGAACTTCCGCCCCTGCCTCTGTTCCATATTAACTGAATTTCTGCCTCTATTCCATATTAACTGAATTTGTAAGGCAATGGCACACCTATTAAAAAAAATATTTAAATAGTTTAAATCATATTTTCCACTATTACCCTTTGTGAAATTATAATTTAAACATCTTTTTAAAAAAAATCGCCGTTGCCGGGGATCGAACCCGGGTCACCCGCGTGACAGGCGGGAATACTTACCACTATACTACAACGACTTAGATGTTAGGGAAGCTAACACAATTAAATTTATATTATTTTTATTCTTCTTCATTGAAAGTAATTATTTCCTTTTTTTTGGGGGGTGGGGGGGTTTTCCCACCGGTCCGGTAGCTGCATTAGAGCCCGACTATTCCAAATTCGCGCCACTTAAAGCATCACTAGGAGAGAAACACTCCCTATCGAAATTTTTTCAATACCGTAGGACTCGAACCCGAAACTTTAAAAGTAATTGTTTCATATCAATACTTACATAGTCTTAATTTTTGTTGGTTACTTTGATTTTCTTTGCTAGTTTATTTTAGAAATTAAAAAAGGCGCATGCAGAAATGATTTTTCCGAAAATAATTTAATTGGATGTAGTTAGTCTTACTTCATGACATGTGAGTAATTCCAATATTCCAAAAATATAAAAGAAATTCAACAATCAAATTTTTAGGATCAATTTTATTTTGTATTTAATTAAGGTATAGATAAAATTCGTATTATTTTCTTGAAAAAACTTGATACTCCTCCATTCCCTTTTAAGTATAATGTTCTAGCCGTTTTAATTTATTTTGAATTATAAAAATATTAAGAAAATAGTTATTTATTTCAAAATTATCCTTGTCTAATAAGCGTGGAGTAAATATTTAGAGATAGTTTCGGAAAATTTCCTTTAGTTTTGTCTCAATAATACAATATCCCTAGTTATTTGACAGATTATATTCATCACCCTTATTTTAATTTGCTTGTAACAAAACTAATTTTAGGTAATGTAATTGCTAAAAAATATATATCATCTAAATTAAATTTGTAACAACCAAATGAAAACAATAGTGGTAAATATAATATTTTCATATTACAAGAGGGATATATGCTATTGAGGTAAGTCTCGAGGGAGGTTTCTAAAATTATTTCAAAATTTAAGAAGGTTTCAAAAACTTTTATATATTTTCTTATGTATGTATTATGAGAAAATGACATAAATAGTCCCTTAATTATAGGAATAGGTCTAAAAGGGTCCCTTAACTATATGAGTAGGTCTAAAAGGGTCCCTTAACTATACACTTAACGGATATAGTCTTTCAACTATTCAAAAACTTATCAATTTTGGTCTCTTAACTATATACTTACCGGTTTTTTGCCTCTATTCCATATTAATTGAATTTTTGCCTCTATTCCATATTAACTGAATTTGTAAGGCAATGGCACACCTATTAAAAAAATATATTTAAATACATAGTTTAAATCATATTTTCCACTATTACCCTTTGTGAAATTATAATTTAAACATCTTTTTAAAAAAAATCGCCGTTGCCGGGGGATCGAACCCGGGTCACCCGCGTGACAGGCGGGAATACTTACCACTATACTACAACGAGTTGGATGTTAGAGAAGCTGACACAAATAAATTTATATTATTTTTATTCTGCTTCATTGAAAGTAATTATTTCCTTTTTTTTGGCGGGGGGAGGAGAGGGTTTCCCACCGGTCTGGTAGCTGCATTAGAGCCCGACTATTCCAAATTCGCGCCACTTAAAGCATCACTAGGAGAGAAACACTCCCTATCGAAATTTTTCCAATACCCTAGCACTCGAACCCGAAACTTCGAAAGTAATTGTTTCATATCAATACTTACATAGTCTTAATTTTTGTTGGTTACTTTGATTTTCTTTGCTAGTTTATTTTAGAAATTAAAAAAGGCGCATGCAGAAATGATTTTCCCGAAAATAATTTAATTGGATGTAGTTAGTCTTACTTCATGACATGTGAGTAATTCCAATATTCCAAAAATATAAAAGAAATTCAACAATCAAATTTTTAGGATCAATTTTATTTTGTATTTAATTAAGGTATAGATAAAATTCGTATTATTTTCTTAAAAAAACTTGATGCTCCCTCCATTCCCTTTTAAGTATAATGTTCTAGCCGTTTTAATTTATTTTGAATTATAAAAATATTAAGAAAATAGTTATTTATTTCAAAATTATCCTTGTCTAATAAGCGTGAAGTAAATATTTAGAGATAGTTTCGGAAAATTTCCTTTAGTTTTGTCTCAATAATACATTATCCATAGTTATTTGACAGATTATATTCATCACCCTTATTTTAATTTGCTTGTAACAAAACTAATTTTAGGTAATGTAATTGCTAAAAAATATATATCATCTAAATTAAATTTGTAACAACCAAATGAAAACAATAGTGGTAAATATAATATTTTCATATTACAAGAGGGATATATGCTATTGAGGTAAGTCTCGAGGGAGGTTTCTAAAATTATTTCAAAATTTAAGAAGGTTTCAAAAACTTTTATATATTTTCTTATGTATGTATTATGAGAAAATGACATAAATAGTCCCTTAACTATAGGAGTAGGTCTAAAAGGGTCCCTCAACTATACACTTAACAGATATAGTCTTTCAACTATTCAAAAACTTATCAATTTTGGTCCATTAACTATACACTTACCGGTTTTAGTCCCTTAACTATAAAGTTACCGATTTTAGTCCTTTAAGTATTCAAAAACTTATTAGATTTGGTCTTTGTCCATTTCTTTAATACAAATAGCTTAGGTTTATATTAACGGAAATATTCATGAAATTAAATCTTTAACCCATTTTTAAAGTTGTTTCTCTATCCCCGCCCTTTTACTTCAAACTACTCTTATAAAAAGAACAATAATGTCTACGATTCAAAATAAAATTAATGAGCAAACAAGATATAAGTCATAATTCTATTCAATGGAGGATAAAATTAAGCATATAACTGTTGTTAATGACTTGAAGTCGCACTTGAATATTTTAATTAGTGCGGATTTTATTTAATTTACTCAAATTCTTTACGTAAAATAAAGTGAATAGAATATTAAAATTGATCTATTTAAATTTTTTTACAAATCTACCATTTTATAAATTTCAATTTCTTAAAAATTAAACAAATTCCGTTCAATGAAGTCGTTGAAGTACAAACTTTGGATTTAACGGGGAATAATTTTTTTCTTTTGACTTATATTTTCTTTCTTAGTGAATTTTATTTTAAAATCGTTAAGGTTCTTCGCATAAGGTTAATTTGAAGAAAAAGTGGCGGAGAGAGAGAAACAACAAAAAAAATTGCTAAAGAATTTAATTTCTCGAGGCATGAATTCCGTTAATATAAACCTAAGCTATTTATATTAAAAAATGGAAAAAGACCAAACCTGGTAAGTTTTTGAATACTTAAAAGACTAAAATTGATAACTTTATAGTTAAGGGACTAAAACCGATAAGTGTATAGTTAAGAGACTAAAGCTGACAAGTTTTTGAATAGTTAAAGGACTATATCCGTTAAGTGTATAGTTAAGGGGTCATTTTAGACCTACTCATATAGTTAAAGGACTATTTATGTCATTTTCTCTATGTATTATTATTGATGAACACAAATCATCGAAAATTGATTTATCGAATCAAAGTTTGATTATTGTACCACACAAAACTTTGAAATTTTAATATTTTTCTTTAAATACTAGTTACTGAGTCACCAAAATCAAATACCTGACGCCTACCTTAAATTGCTTACTATATATATGAGTAACATAAATGAGTGACATGCATATCTTAATTGACCTATGCTTAATAAATTAATAATATTGGGGTTTGAGTAGTTTATCGGGAATAACCTCTAAGGTAAATGTAAGGTTTGCATATGTTTTATCCTCACACATCTTACTCAGTGAAATTACACTGAATATGTTATTGTTATAGGGTTAAGTTTGAGAGTGAAAATTTAACCTCTATACATGAGTTTTCTAAAAGCTAACATATGGCTTAAAAAGAAAAACTAACATATCAAATATTAGACAAACTATGAACATATCTTATCAAAAAAAATAATTCTTCAATACATAATTAGCGAATTACTTTACTCAAGTTTGATTTATCATACTAAATTTTGATTTATCGAACCAAATTTTAGAAATCAATATACTTGATATCTATTTCTATTTTTTTAAAAATAAAACTTTAAAAATATTGGATCGAATATCGAATCGTACACTCAATATAATTTATTAAGAGAATGCATTTGTTGATCAATTGAGTAATTCAGTTGAGAGGGATTCTGCAGTCATGATAGATAATGTAAATGAGAATGAATTAAAGCTTCTTATAATATGCTTAGAAGTTAGAGGAAAAACTATCATTTTTAATTTTATTTTGAATTAGAAAAAAATAATAAAGTATTTTTTATTTTTTAAACTATCCTTGTTTAATAAGCAATGAGTAAATATTTAAGATAGTTTCAGAGATTTTCCTATTGATTTGTCTCAATAACACAACATTCCTTGTGATTTGAGTTATCACATTCACCATCAATATTTTAATTTGCTCGTAACAAAACTAATTTAAGTAATATAATTATCTAGCAAAAAATATTACGTAAATTTAATTTTAATACATGCAAATGAAAATAAGGATGGTAAATATAATATTTCAAATTATAAGAAAGATACTGTATATGTTATTGAGGTAAGCTCGGAGAGAGATTTTTTTTGAAATTATTTCAATTTTTAAGAATGCCTTTAAAACTTCTTTATATTTTCTTATGAATGTATAATCATAATGTATAATTAGGGATGAATATAAATCATCTGAAAATGGATGTGTCTAGTTGAAATTTGATTATTGTATCTTATCAAATTTTAAAAGTTCGATATTTGATATTTACTTTGAATTATCAATTATCAATTATCGAATTACCAAAATTGAATAT